GTGGAGCTGCTTTCCAGCAGGTCGACCCCTAATCTGTACTGATGCCTGGGGTTATTCCTCCCCAGGTGCAGGACCCTGCACTTGTCCTTATTGAACCTCATGAGGTTCCTCTCTGCCCAATTCTCCAGTCTGTCCAGGTCCCTCTGGATGGCCGCGCAGCCCTCTGGAGTGTTGGCCACTCCACCCAGCTTGGTGTCATCTGCAAACTTGCTCAGGGTGCACTCTGTGCCCTCCTCCAAGTCATTGATGAACAAGTTCAACAGCACTGGGCCCAGTACTGACCCCTGGGGGACACCACTGGCCACAGGCCTCCAACTGGACTCGGCCCCATTTATSACCACCCTCTGAGCTCTGCCATCCAGCCAGCCCTCAATCCACCTCACTGTCCATCTGTCCAATCCACACTTCCGGAGCTTTCCTTTGAGGATATTATGGGAGATGATGTCGAAAGCCTTGCTAAAGGCCACCTCACTGTCCATCTGTCCATCTCCCATAGGTGATGGAAGACACCCACAGGTGTCTACCTCCCATAGGACAACATCCACGTCTCTCCCATCATCCAGCCAGTCATCCCATCATAGAAGGCTATCAAGCTCGTCAAACCTTGTTTCCCCTTGGTGAATCCATGYTGACTACTCCTGATCACCTCTTTCTCCTTCACATGCCTAGATATCTTCTCTGGGATGAGGTGCTCCATCATCTTTCCAGGGACGGAGGTGAGGCTGACCAGCCTGTAGTTTCCCTGCTCCTCCTTCTTGCCCTTTTTGAAGACTGGAGTGATTTTTTYGGCTTTCTCTGGCATCTCCCCCACTCTCTACGACCTCTCAAAGATGATGGAGAGCAACTGAGCAACAAATATTGATTACGCAGTAACCCTCCCACAGGGGCAAGTGACATTAATCAAAGGAAGGCTTAATAAACTATCTTATATCAGAGTTACGATTTAGTTATTTAAAATTTCAGTGAAGACAGCTGTAGTTGAACTGTTACAGGATCTAATCCAGATAGATCAGCTGGCAAAAGCATGAAATAATCCACTGTCATTTACAGCAGATATGCCAATTTATTAATTTTCAAGTTCACCTAAATTCTGAGTACATCAGCTTTGGCTATGGAATGATCCACAGAATTTCACTTAATGAATGCAGGATTTTAATTTGATACATGSAGGTTATACTTAGAAGTGCATACTTGAATATTCTTTCTTCTACATGAAAAAGAATTTTTATTTATTTAAATAAAGGCTCAGGATGAAAAGCTAGGAGAGCTGGACCTAATGAGAAAAACATTTCAGACTGCACTGTCTCATTTAATACTACATCACTCACCAATAAGCCCAGTGAATAACTGTAAACTTATGAAGAAACTAAACTCTGAAGGTTGCTACATGGTCCTTCTCCCTTCAAGTAAACTGAGAACTTCAGTTCTCCATGGGTAGAATGAATTACTTCATCTCCATATGAAAAGAGTAGAAAGTCTAGCAATTTCATTACATGTTGTACGTATTACAGGAGCACAGGGATCCCTCAGGAGGTTTTAAACAAACACAGAAAAACTCAGAGTCTTTAGGCCTTATCTTATATTGCTTTGGGCTCTCTTATTCTTATCTATATGTATATCAAATTATAAGACTTACATTTCTGTGAAGGCAATTTCTTCATGTGCCTAAAGGGGAAGATAGGCATCTAGTGAAGCTAACAGATGTATTTTGTGTCTTCCATTGCGACAATCCTGTTAAAAATGCCTCTATAAAGGACCTAACTCATATGTTTCTCTCAGAGGCCTATTTCCTTTTCCTTTTATGTTTTAACCTGTTTTCAGGCTTGTCCGTCTTGCTGGAAGTGTCCTTCTAGTGTCCTTCTGTTCTATCTTCTTTTTGAAGATAATTGTATATCTTTTATTCTTGTCTGCATCTTCTGTACATCATCCTCCTTACCCCTTCAGAACCAAACCTGGGTGTCTTATCATCTCTTTCTTCACTGTACTTCCTTGCTCATTCACTTACTTTATTTTCTACAGTCTCAAAGTCCCTCAAATGGSTCTGTTGTATTGTCAATCTTTTCCACAGTGTTACAGCTGAATTTCTTTTTCTCTTGTCTGATTACTCCAGTAGTCTTTTAGGACTTAATTTCAGAAGACCTGTATTGTCTTTTTCTCTCCTTTTCCATTCTATTTTCTACTCTCCCTACACATTTCTTTTCAATTTTCATTCTGGATATTCTCTTCCATAAACTCTACCCATGTGATATTAAACCCAAAAGCCACTCAAGGAAGATAAATGTTCTACACCTATAACCAGTTAGATTTTTGTCCCCTTCTCCTTTGGTTTGATTGATCCCTCAATAACCACTAGTGTCTTATTTTCTAAGCATCTGGCTTACAGATAAAAAAAAAAAAGGATTAACCACTGCAGGCTCTCTTATAAAAGTTCTATTTTGTTTTGCTCGTCTTTAATAAAATTCTTGGCTCATTAATTTTTTCTTTTCAAGCCTTTTGCCTCTGTCAGAGACAATATTATGTAATCAAATATATCAAATATCAGTTAGAGAAGATTATATTGCTTAATATCATGTGTGAGGATGCTTGCCTCACACCAATCAAAAATGAACTCTGAAAGTCTGATCAGAGAGCACAAAATATGCAGTCACACGAAAGTCATCCAGGAAAGACAGACACTTGCTTCCATTAGTAACAGATGAGAAATTTCTTCCTTGCTCAGGACCTGTCCCATGCAAACTTCTGCTTTTGCCTGAGTGCTGAGCAGAGACAACATAATAAAGGCAACAAATTCCCTCAGATAAAACTATTATTCCAGTGAACAAATGTAGATCTATCTTTTGATGCAGAAATCATTTTTATATGTGACCTAAAGTTTCCTTAATTTCTAAAAAAATTATCATAGGCCTTAATTCTAGGTTTCTGCAGAGAAGTGAATTGGACTCACAATGAAAAGCAAGCGAAGTGAAAGGTTTGCTGAATCACCTCTAGGATCATAATATATTGTACTGCCAATCTTATTTAATATCATATTTTCAATAGAAATCTTTGAGAAAATGAGCCTTTGGCAGTCTTGTTCTTAAAGGGCTCAGGCCTGTATCTCTTTCAATAGAAAAACTTTTTTTTTTTTTCTTAATGGAAAGTTGAAATATTTTTGTCATCAATTTTCACATTGCCATGAATTTAGCTGTAATAAACTGTTTCATTGTTCCTTTAAATTGGGCTTATTCTTGAGAAAAGCTTTCTATAAATTAATTTTGAATTGCATTATCATATCTTATTATACTTATTATACTTTTTTTCCCTCGGATATAAGTTTAAGAAAGTATTTAGATGCATTGAATTTCATTTACAAAAGCAGTCTTGTGTACAGACATATGYAGAAATCTAAGTAACAAAGCTATAATGGATATTCCATTATATTCTGGAGGAATTCTCTAAAAGCATAGGGAAAAAGCTCATTTTAATAATTCTATTCAGATTATTTCCAAACTTGATATTTTAAAAGAAATGTTGGAAAATATATTCATATATTACTGATTGTTCTTTTTCCTGTTTTATGTGACAAAATATCAGAAGATTACTTATTAGAATTCAGTGTTCAAATTTTGCTAAGATAACTGTTGCAACTCCAGGAAAAGATAAATAATTCCAACAGGAAAATTATATTAAGGTTTTGCATTTCTTACCACTCATTTTTATAGAGCTTTCTGATAAAGAACAAAATTGTTTAATTGTAAAAACATCACCCTAAGTATCCAAATTTGTCTACTAAGATAAGGAGATCAAATGGAAATTGTAAAGATGTCTAATTTGCACTGGCAATTTTTATATTTTAAAATAAAATTTTTATATAGTGATGTGGGTATTTGATAATGTTGATCCAAACAGTAGAATACAAACAAATAACTGGAACTCCTTTTAACAGAAATAACATTTGCTCTATAATTATTGTGAATGAATAGGTTTGCTCTGCTACACTAAAGCTCTAAAATTACAAATTGCTAATAWGAAATAACAATATTTTCCAGCTTCAAAAGAATTATTGTCATTCTYGTATCATACTTTTGTAACAATAGTCTAAAATTCTTCCACATAGTATATGTCTTTCAAAAGTACAGCTGTTTATAATATTGCGGAGGRTATTTGCCTACCTTTCCTTGTGTGTATAGAAATTTCCATACACTGGTGTCTGTCAATACAGAAAAATTTCTTTTAAAATTTCTTTTACAAATTAGTCATTTCCTAGAAAATGCTCTCAGGATTTATATCAAGTTGAGTACACAACAGTTATCAAGAAATAACTTGCATCTATGTTTCTGACTCACATTGAATGTAATAGCCATGACAGTAAATGTATATCTTTCTATGCTAATGGAATAAAAAAGAAAATAACAGAAAAAAAAATTGCATTTTATGCACTTTTGGTATCCATTAACCAGAAAACATACATTCATAAATGCATTTGTGTAATGTTTGTTATTGCTGTCAGATTAATTCATGAAGAAAAAAAAAAAAAAAGCATGAACTTCACACACCATCAGCCTTCCTTTGCTCAWTTTTGGCCAGCTCAGCTTTCAGCTAAGGGTAGAGGTTTCTTAAWGAAACACGGAGTTTCTTTACAAGAGACTTTTTTGTTAGTGCTGATTGATAGGCTTGATTTCTCCTTCTAAATTTTTGTTGCTTTGTGGGCAAGCTTTCTCCATTTAGTTTGGCCAGCAAGTCTTTCTTTATAAAACAGCATTGATGACACTTACTACTTCTGTAAAGGATTTGAAATCTCTGACTGAAATTGCATGCTATAATAGGGCATATTATGTAAAAATAGCTATATGTAGATATAACATACAAGTCAATTTTCTTTTTGTTGAAATATGTTGAACTGACCTCCTTCAGCTGAGCAGATGACCACAATAGGGCTGAATGGACCATCTCCTTTGTTATTGTAAACACCAACTTTCACCTCAAAGGGGGTCAGAGGTGGCACACTTTCATCTCTGTAGATGAACTTTGAGGCATCTGAAGATGTCACCATTTTCTCCTTCCAACCTCGTGTCCCATTAGGTCTGAAAGCCACAATATATCCAAATCCTTCTCCATTTTGAAACTCTTCTGACACTGGCTAAAATAGAAAGTTCAAATAATGATCACATGTAGTCTTACTTATTTAGAAAGCAATCACTCAGTGACAGAATAAAAGCTAGGTGATCTCTTCCAGTAGCATTATAGGATTTTGTTTATCATGCTTGGTAAAACAAAGAGACAGCTGTTTCTGAATAGGAATCTGGAAGAGCATTTCTGCAGCTTGTCCTCATGGTTAGGTCACTGTCCCAGGAATGAATAATCTCTTGGTCTCTAGAGACATTGTTTCTATTGTTCCCATATCTTGATTAATGCTTTAATCAGGGACTATTAGTTGAATAGCTACTTCTAACGAATGGCCTTGTTAAAAATATACAGCAACATCCTGTTAAGGTCTCAGTCCAAAAAATATGTCAATGACATTGACTACAATGGGATCCAATGGGGATTTTGGTTCTACACTGTTTCTGCATCCAAATGGGCTGTCAAGCACTAATGATTTATGTCAAAGGTTCATCTCAAGGCTTAGAGATATAATGTAATAAAACTAACTACTCTAACTACCAAATCAAAAGTCTTGGGGGAAAAAATCCATCTCATTCACCTTGCTTATATCAGAAGAACTGTGAAATTACCCACTTTAACTAGGACATAGATGTTGCTAATAGACAGTCAGCAAAGACACTTAGGTGTTGAGAAATTAAGCACTGCAGCAATCTTATATGTTCAGTTCAAGGAATGGAATTATTCATACCAATTTGCTGCCTACATTTCCAAAAATGTCAATGGACTGGGTTAGGTATTGGGTTAAGTTTAATATCTGTCAGCATATAAAAATAGCACACAGCAAAATGTTTCAATACCATCTCTTAAAGAGTTTCTTGGATCTGTAGATAATGAGGATGTGAGCTGGAGTTCAGCTATGGAGAATGTAGAGCTATCTGTCCCTCCACAACATGAGTTTCATCACTAGGCATCTCACTATAGCAAGGGAGGTTGTTTTCTATCTGGCATCCTAAGGCTGCACACTGTGTATCCAATTCAGAAAATTTCATGGTTCCAAAGGCAGAAGACACAAAAAGAGGAGACAGTCTTTGTACCCCAGTGATTCAGGTTGGAATGGAAAAGCCTTCCTACTCTTTACAACACTTATGGATTTTTCAGTAGGCAGTCACCATCAAAAAGGCAAGAAATATATGAGAAATAGGAGAATCTTGAGATTTCATTGTAAACCTGAAATACATGATCTTTGAATTGATTTTAAATTATTAAAGTTTTGTTTGAATTGGCCAGCTGTAGCTCTGCCGGTTAGGTTTTTTTTTTTTTTTTTCCTGAATTATTCCCAGACACCCACATGGTTCTCAGTATCTGTTCAGTCTTCTAAGTACTTTGTTGAATTCCAGTTCCCTATGTAAATCCAGTTTAGACTTTTAAAACCTTCAAAATGAGAGATTCACTTGTGCTAGAGTTGGACTAACTTGCAGTGTAGTTGTGTCTTATAGAAATGCAGTGACTTTACCAGAGAGAGCAGCAGTGAAGTGAACACAGTAGTCTGCAATGAGTTTCTCGTAACACTCACAGTGTATTATTCAATATTCCAATATTAGTTCTTCAGCAGAAAATTCAACACTTATTTCCAATTGTACATCTTTTCGTGTGTTTTGGTTTATTTTTTACCTTTATGTATCATTTTTGGAAGAGATACAGTGATTAGAATTAGGTAAAAAAGGTAGAAATCTTTCAGATATTTGAAACAACATAAATATGCCCACTTCATTTATATGATTGACACAGACGAAATATATTGGTTTTGTTATCTTAATTTTATTAACAACTTTTTCCAGCTTAAGTGGTATATGAAACAATACAGTATGATGAAAATAACCTCAGGAAGAATTAGATGTTGATGGAAAAAGTAAGTTAATTAAAAGCAGAGGAAAGAAGCAACATCTTGTACATTATTGGTAGTTGCCTTCTTTAGCTTAAGGTGACGAAGCCAAAGTATACTAAATAAATATATWTTCCAGCAATTAATAAATCTTAACTGTTTGCTGTATATCTATTGCAGAATTAGTCACACCGAATGTGTATTGTTCCTTTTTTATCTCTGGTTTCATTTGGAAGGAGACTTTTTGTTTTTGTTTGTGATTAAATGCTGTCTTCTTAAATGATTAAGTGGCGCTGATATTCAAGCGCCACTTCCTCCAAGCTCAGGATCGGTGTATTCCCACAAAAAAGAAGTCGAGTAAGAGGGGCAGGAGACCTGTATGGATGGGTAAGGAATTGCTGGGCAAAGTGAGTGAGAAAAAAAGAGTGTACAGCTTGTGGAAGAAGGGACAGGCCACGTGGGAGGAATACAGGCGCATTGTCAGAGAATGCAGATGCGAGACGAGGAAGGCCAAAGTCCGGGTGGAATTAGAGTTGGCGAGGCAAGTCAGAGACAACAGGAAGGGTTTCTATAAGTATGTCAATAGCAAGAGGAAGACGAGGG